ACCAGGTTGTTGATTTACCAGGGTAGTCCTGAGATCTACTACTTGAGGGCTTTTACTCTAGAGGTGTATACAATATCATAGCCACGTGTGGCTATTTAAATTTGAGTCAGTTGAGATTAAATAAAATTTGAAATTCAGTTCATTACGAACTACATTTCAAATGCTTATAGCTGCGTGCTGTTAAGTGACTAGTGAATTGGACAGTGTAGATATAGGACATTTCCATCACTACAGAAAAGTCAATGGAACAGGGTTGCTCTACAGAATCTGGAAAGATTTATATATAATTTTAGAGAAGGAGATACTCAAATTAATAGACTCATTGAATTTGTATTTTTTGTCATATAACATAAAGAAGTGTGTTATCTTGTAAAAGAGGAACTCCGGATATAAGAAATCTCAAGAAGTGATTAATTTTAGCGACTCAGCAGTAAAGGCTCATGGCTCTTAATTCTCTTCACTCTACCACCCACCAAGTTGTGCTCTCTTCGGCAGCACATATCCCACCCTCCAAGATGGCTTGATACTAGGGTTGTTTTCTTCATGGTTATAATATGGCTGCAGCAGTTCCATATTATAAAAGATTCTCTAGTAAAAGATTCTCTATGCTATAGGTCAACTGAGTTTCTTTCTTCAAACAACTTTAATTAGGGTTTGTTTAACAGTGTACAAGATTTCCACTGTGGGTGAATAGGTGATAAGGAGAGAAACTTGTTAGTTCCGTTACTTGCTGTCTTATACAAGAGGTTAGAATTCATGTTTCATGTGTTTAGCTATGCTCTGCCCCATGGATACAGATTATACCTATGGCCCTGACTGGTCATTTCTTAATTTCGGTGGAGAAGAGGTACAAGTATTTTATTCTTCAGCAGCGAATAGCATTTTGAAGAATCCATAAAAATCATTAAATCTCAAGGTTGAGAGAAAACTGGTAGAAAGATAACCTGATCCAACCACCTTCTGGTCTAATATATAAAAATCTTGCAGGCCATAAAGACTGATTTATATTTTAAATAAATTTAATTATACTTAAATGTATTTTTTAAAATAAATTTAATCCCCAAATTTATCTGACATAATTCTTATACTAAAGCTAAATGCTAGTATATCAAGTGAAAGAAATGAAAGTTCCTAACACATTATGGACTCTTGCTAGTAGTGTTTTCTTTTTTTTGAGTGTTAATTTCAAGAGTAAAGATTACAAATAGTATCCATATACCAAATATTTAATGTTCATCTATGAATGAAAAACTCGAATGTTTTAGTTTATTCTTTTTGTTGTAGACAACAAAATTTTATAGATGTACTTTTCTTCCTGTGATACCAGAAAAGGTGAAGCATTTGCCACAAAGATTATTTGCATATGCTTCAGATTTACTCTAGAAAGTATAATTTTCCATCAAATAATTTTAAGACCAGTCAGAGGGCTTTAAGAGTTGAAACGAAATTCCTGGTCAGTGTGGCAACCTAAGGAATTTCACAGACACACTCTGCAGACTTTGTGGTGATTACAGTGACGTTCTAAGTGGTTGGCTAAGTTTTATTTTTGACTCAGAGGGCGATTTGAACTCTAATGGAAAATAATGGTAATTTCCTAGTTAGCCTTTTTTTTTTTTTTAAGATTAAAACATTGCATAATTTCAGTTGAGATTTTACAAGACTTTTGTGGAGACCTGTGAAGCAAGAATTAACCCCCTTCCATGGAAGCCATCAGAATTAAACCTATTTAAAAGAATGCAGAGATCAGAAGGGCAGGTCTAGGACTGGAATTCCAGCATTGAGACTCCCTTGTGGTCTCTCGTTAGGAAGCCTGGAAGCCTGAGGCTTTGCTTATGAGTTTGTTATGTTTCTTCTTCCTTTTTTTCAGATACAATGTTTGGATATGGGTTTGATTAAACATCCCATAGAGGTATATGAGTACCTCTTCTTTCAGATTATAATCATGTGGGACCCTTAAGGAGATATAAATATGCCAGATTTACCTTAGTTGAATTTATCTTTGCCAGAAATCTACTTTTCATTGAGAAATTGTCTGTCATCCAATGTAACCTGTTTTTCTAATCGTTTTCCTGTATTTGGTTAGGTACATGGTGTGTGTGTGTGTGTGTGTGTGTGCGTGTGTTATGTGTGTGTGTGTACAATTCCAATTATTTCAAGGAGTTTGACTCTTTACACAGAATATACTTGATATATATCTAAATACTTTTCAGGGGCTACTATATATAAATATATAGGAGGTTCACTGTACAAAGGCACATGACCATGGGGTTAAGTGGGATCTGAAATCCGGACTGCACTCCGCTCACAAAACTGTGCCTCTTGAATGAGATAGTTTAATTTAAACTAAGGCATGAGTTTTGTAGGGGCTGTTAGAGGCCCTGATACTTCTGTATTATGTGTAAAATATTTGCTTAATCTTCTGAATCTTGAATTATGTCAAACTTTTTTGTCTTTTTTTTTTTTTTTTACAATTGTGCTTAATATACATAATATCAAATTTACCATTTTAACCATTTTTAAATGTACAATTCCATGGCATTAAATGTATTCACATTTTTTGTTTGTGCAGCCATCACCACCATCTATCTCCACAGTGTTTTTATCTTCCCAAACTCTATACTCATTTAAATTAACTCCCTTTCCCCACTCCCTGCTGGCGACCACTGTTGTACTTTTTGTCTCTATGAATTTAACTACTCTAGGTATATTGTATAAATGGAATCATGCAATAATTATCCTTTTGTGACTGGTTTATTCCACTTAGCCTATGTCTTCAAGGTTCATACATGCTGTAGCATGTGCCAGAATTTCCTTACTTTTCAAGGCTTAACAATATTCCATTGCATGTACATAACACATTCTGTATATTCATATATCTGTTGGTGGACACTTGGGTTGTTTCCACATTTTGGCTATTATGAATGATGCTGCTTTAAACATGGGGCAGGAGGGATGCACAAATTTTCCCTGCTTTCAATTAGATACAGACCTAGAAGTGTAATTGCTAGATCATCTGGTAATTCTATACTTAACTTTTTGAGGAACCTGCCATGCATTTATCCATAGTGATTGGGTCATTTTACTTTCCCATCAAAAATGCACAAGGGTATCCTACTTTCTGTACCTCCTCACCAACGCTTGATTTATTTATTTTTTTATAACAGTCATCGTAATGGGCATGAAGTTGTATCTCATTGTGGTTTTCATTTGTATTTTCCTAACGATTAGTGATATTGAACATATTTTTATATACTTATCGGCCATTTGTGTATCTTCTGTGGAGAAATATCTATTCAAATCCTTTGCTCATTTTTCAATTGAGTTGTCTTTTTTAGTTGCTGAGTTTCAAGAGTTTGTATATATTCTAGATATTAACCACTTCTCAGATGTATGATATGCAAATATTTCCTCTCATTGCATGGATTGCTTTTTCATTCTTTTGACGATGTTTTTTGATGTACAAAAGTTTTAAATTTGATCAAGTCCATTTATCTATTTTTTCTTTTGTAGCCTGTGATTTTGGTGACATATGCAAGAAGTTTCCAAATCCAATGTCATTGAAGCTTTGCCCTTATATTTTTTTCTAAATGTTTTATAGTTATAGCTCTTATGGATAGGTCTTTGACCTATTTTGAGTTAGTTTTATGGTGTAAGGTAAGGGTCCAGCTTCATTTTTTTGCATGTGGATATCCAGTTTTTCCATTTTCTTGATGTTTTCAAGACTGTATACAGTCAATTTTTCATCATTATGGATAATGTCTAGGAGTAAGATAGAAAATGACCCCAAATCATGGTTGAAGCAAAATTTCACTCCTCTATTATCCAGAAATGGATTAACTGGTTTACCAAAATAAGTGCAGCAGGACCAGATAAGCAATCACCTCCCCAGAGTCTACATCATTAGCCAGCTGTTGAATCGGTGCACATGGTCAGCTCATTGATGTAGGGAGTGGATAGGAAAAGAGCTAAGCCTTTCCTGAAGCTGATCTGGATAAAGAAGAGTAGATTCTGAAAACTCTGCCCTTAGGTCTTGCCCTGGCCCATGATGGTATATCAGAACCACAACTGGACTACTCTCCTAAGCCATTTTTAGCTCAGTAATAAGTGTTCTACAACTGCTGGCCAATTCTATGGTAAACTTAATCAACTTTTGGTATCGAACGGATATTTTGGCAGAGATAATACAAAAACTTTCATGGTATCTTGAATTTTCAAAGAACCTCCATGTGCTATAACACAAGTATTGTGTACTTCTACTGGAAGGAGACAGTATACTTGTCTTTTTGGCAGTTATAAAGATAATGAGATCAGAAAAGAAAAAAAAAGGTAGAGTGTGAAAATTGTCGATAGTTGAGAGACAGTACAATCTCATGGGTAAGAATGTGCTGCTTTTTACCATTTATAGGATGTTTGTTTTGGGCAAGTTGATTAAATTTTTCCAACCTTTTTTTCTCATCGGTACAGTGAGAATAATAATAACCAATGCTATAGGGCTTTGTGAGATTAAATGAGATGAAATGTGTATACCGTGTGCTTTGACAAGGTTAGGCCTGCATTAAATGCTCAAGTAAAGATCTTTGTCTTCCCTGAGAAGAAATAGCAAGATATATTCTAGGAGAAAACATAATAAGACATAAGTCTATTGGTTGTTTTTGTTTTGTTCCTGCCTATTTTGTTGTTGTTCTTTTTAACTGCTTTAGATTGTCCCAGCTGAGAGTTGCTAACATTTCTTTCTTTTGTTTCCTTTTTGGTACTAGTATCAGTGATTTTCAAGATTTCTGCACCCCACCACTAGTGGAGATTATCTTTGTAACAAAATAATTTTTGGAGTGTTGTATATACTTATCCACTCACTTCTTATATGTAAGGGCTTTCTCTCTCTTTTAAAGTGCATGTTCATGTGTTCTTTTTACCAAACTCTTTCCTGCTTATTAACTATCATAGTTTTGTTGAGATGTCTCTTAGTAATCCTCTTAACTCTTGGCATTGATCCTTCCCAGTGAGAAGAGGGGATGTCCTGGCAGCATGGAGTGGTATTCGTCCCCTTGTTACAGATCCCAAATCTGCAGATACTCAGTCCATCTCCCGAAATCATGTTGTGGATATCAGTGAGAGCGGCCTTATTACTATAGCAGGTATCGGGCATGGGGTATTGCTTTGCTATTTGAATGTACTTTAGATAGGACCTTGAGTTCAGTGGTCACACTGGAATCTCTTTTAGCACTAATCAACAGTGATTTTTTTTTTTAGGATTCCAAGTAAAATCTTACCATTGCTTTGCCATATTTGTTATAAATGACAGGTGAATTTTGTTATTCATAAATTGATAAATGTAATTACAAGAAAAATAAAGGGTGGCAACCTGATGAGTTATTTAGCAACTTCTTTGTAGGTGGAAAGTGGACAACCTATCGCTCTATGGCAGAAGACACCATAGATGCTGCTATCAAGTCTCATAATTTGAAAGCAGGACCAAGTAGAACAGTTGGGCTTTTCCTTCAAGGGGGCAAAGATTGGAGCCCCACACTCTACATTAGGCTTGTACAGGATTATGGACTTGAAAGTGAGGTGGGTGTGCATAGCCATGTCATCTCATCCTTTACCTAAATTCACTATTACCAGTAACACAATCAGTGACCATGTGGCCTCCCTGATTTAGGATTTCCTTTTGCTGAGTTCATTTCTGTCTGCATACCATGAAAGTGAACTGATGGAGAAAAGAAAAAAAAGGTCTTATCTGCTTTCGTGACCTAAAAAAAACAATGCACTTTGTAGTTTCTGTTTTAAAATCTGGGGTTTGTCTGGTTTCTTCCTAGCAGACAGGGCATCTCAAATTCTTTCTATCATGAACATCAGGAAGGCTGTTCTTCAGAAGTGATGTTGGGAGCAGAATGAAGCTGAAGCTTCATCAGTCACTGATACAATGATACATGTGTAGTAGAGTTAGTGCTGGCCTAAGCATTCGAAGCCCAAGTGATTTCCTCCCACAAAATCAAAATCTAATACTCTCCCAGAACTATTAGTTAAGGCTGTAAAAAACTGACAAGATAAGCACATCTACTCTTTGCTTCGTACCTAGAAGCTATTGATATTCAAAGTGCCTGCCTAATGGAGTTTTATTTCCTTAGGTGGCACAGCATCTTGCCGCCACCTATGGTGACAAGGCTTTTGAGGTGGCCAAAATGGCAAGTGTGACTGGAAAAAGGTGGCCCATTGTTGGAGTGCGTCTTGTGTCAGAATTTCCATACATTGAAGCAGAGGTATGTGAACAGCCATGTGGGGATTTCCCTTCTGCATGGGGTATCATTCATCTGTGTGTTTTTTTTTTCATCTTCCTTAAAAATTATATTATAGTTAAATTTTAATGCACATATGTCAACTAAAACCTGGAGTAAAGGTTCAGTACAGAGCCTTTCATTTACAAATTTCTATTTTAATTCTAAAGTGATATTGATAACGGTAACAATAATAAGAGAAAATAGAAAACAGAACTATCCGAAGTCTTGTTAATTCTCGTCGTTTGCCCTCTTGTGAACTTGCAGCTCCTGTGTCACTCATGCGCTGCCCCGTGATGTAACTTGATTTGACACTTAACTTCCCATAGATTTAAGCTTTATTTCTTATTAAGATTTCAGCTTTATTTCTTATTAAGATTTCATATTTTATGAAACCAGAGACCATGCTTTATATTTATTTATAATTCACTGTACCTTAAAACATGGGTGTCCAATAAGCATTTGTCGATTGAAGGCTGGGCTTCTGTTATATGGTTACTATGAGACAGAAATCTTTGGACAGCCTAAAGGGATGAGACCATAGCTTTATACTACTTGTTCTTCACCTACCCAGCTGTGTAAATTAACATCCATATTATCTATAAGCAGGGAGGTACGTAATTACTGTGAATGGTAAATGAGAAGTGACACAGTTTGCATGTTTATGCCAGGTTTCTGTATGATGTCTCTATTTGTCTCTTGCCTGCTACAGAACCAGAGTTTATAAAAAAAACAAAAACAAAACTAACAAGCACGAATTATTATTTTTTAGGTGAAACTATTTCCTTTCTTTTTTAAAAAGACCTAAACTAATAACTTCACTTTAATTCAAACTCAGGTGAAATATGGGATTAAGGAGTACGCCTGCACTGCGGTGGATATGATTTCTCGTCGCACTCGCCTGGCCTTTCTAAATGTCCAGGCAGCAGAGGAAGCCCTACCTAGGATTGTTGAACTGATGGGCAGAGAACTGAATTGGGATGATAATAAAAAAGAGGTAATATAGAAAAGTCTTTAAAACCACAGTTCCCATTAGACACTTGTAATGTTTGATCTGTTAGTAAATGCTTGTATAATTTTTGTGGTGACTTTAGATTTCTTGCCAACTTCTGTGTATGTGTGTTTAATATTGCTAGGTATTAGGAAACTGGAAAATATTCTTGTACCAAAATTTGTTGGTTCTTTCTGGAAAATCCCCTATAGAAAAATGCTCTCAAATTTGTGGTCATAATTCCTAAAAAAGTATGATAATAATGATCGCGGGTAGAACTTTTTCTGGTTTTCATTGAAAGCACTCTTAGAATGTATTCTACAGTGAAATTCACACTCTACAAATTTGCTCTTAGGAAATAGTGGTTTTATTCTTGACCACCAAATGCGTATTCATATATGTCATTTGAAATTTTATATTTATATCCAAATTAAAAAAAGAAAGCCAATGGTGCTCAGATGCCCACATATACAGCCCTTGGCTTGTTGTAATAAACAGAAGGTATTCATGATTTTTATTTAAACTGAACTCTTATGCAGAGTCATTTTCATATATTTATTCAAAAAATATTTTCTGTACTCATTGGTTTAATTCTTGTCCTGCTAGTCTTTCTTGAACCCATAAGCTCTTTTGCTGCCACTTTGTTGTAATAGCTCTGGTCATGCTCACCAATAACTCCCACCACGTTGCTCAATGTACTTGTCAAATCTTGGTCCTCCTTCTATTCAACTAATTGGTGGCATTGATTCACTTGATTCCTCCCTCCTTCTTGATCTACTTTCTGAAACACCACCTGTCTTAGTCTACTCAGGCTGCTGTAATTGAATACGACAGACTGGGTGACTTCAACAACAGACATTTATTTCTTTCAATTCTGGAAGCTAGAAATTTGAGATCAGGGTGGCAACTTGGTTGGGTTCTGGTGAGAACACTCTTCCTGGCTTTCAGACTGCTGCCTTCTTGCTGTGTCCTCACATGGCAGAGAGAGAGCAAGCCCTTTGGTGTCTCTTACAAGGACACTGATTCCATCTTAAGAGCCTTACCCTCATGAATTCTTCTAAACCTAATTATCTCCCAAAGGCCCCATGAGAGGAAACCCCACCTTCAAGACTCATCTAAACCTAATTATCTCCCTAAAGCCCCATCTCTGAGTACTATCACATTGGAGGTTAGGGCTCCAGCATATGAATTTTGGTGGGGACAGTTCAGTCCATGGCACCATCTCTCTCAGATCTCCTCCTACCTTCCCCCAAACTACTCCTGCTACTACTACCAACATCACCATGTCATAAATAACTATTCTACCTTTTGGCTGCTTAGGCCTCTGAATCTTTGTATCATACCTGATCTAAATCCACATCAAACCATATCATATTTATCTTCAAATGATGACTTGAATTCAACCCTTACTAAAAACATTTTACTGCTGTCACTCTGATTCAGGCTACCAGCATTTTTACATGGGTTATTATAATAGCTTCCCTCCACTAAACCAGGATCCCTGCTTTAATAGCTTCAGTGATTCTATTAAAATATACGCCAGATCGTTGGATATGTCAGTCTGAAGTTCAGAAGGGAGGTCAGAACTGGAGGGATACATTTGAGCTGGTATTTAAACCATTAGACTCGATGAGATCATCTAGTGAGGTATGTAGATAACAGCCAGTGATCCCAAGAATGAGTCCCAAGCAATCCAGAGTTTAGAAGCTGGAGAGAAAATGAAGAATTCAAGAGAAAGGGAAAATAATAGATAGTGAAGTTGAATAAGGTGTGAGAAGACCCAAGAAAGAGTTGTGACCCAAAAAGAAAGGAAGAAAGTATTTCAAGAAGAGGAAAGTAATCTACTGTATCAAATGCTGCTGATAGGTTTAGTAAGGTGAGGACTGATCATTAACAATTCCTTTGCTAAAACCCTCTTTTACTCAGAGTAAAGTCAAAGTCATTACAGAGTGGCTCACCAGGCCTTCATGGTCTGGCCACCATCTTTCTGATCTACCTGTCTTTCTTTCCATTCATTCACTCCCCTCCAACCCACAGGTCGAATTACTTTTCCTTATTCAAGCCATGCTGATTCTTCTGCCTAGAATGTTCTTTCCTAGATATCCTCACGGCCTACTCCCTCATTTCCTACTGGTCTCTACTCCAGAGAGG